GTTTTATCATGCTGTTCCTGTAGATTATGATTGTCAAAAATGATCCTAGTGCATCCATTGATGTGGCAGAAATCAGTAATTTGGGCCAGGCACTGTGGGGCCGAAGCTGGCAGATCACTTGAGGTCAGGAGTTTGAGACCACCCTGGCCAACATGGTGAAATCCCATCTCTATTAAAAATACAAACATTAGCTGGGCGCAGTGGTGGTTGCCTGTAGTTGCAGCTACTTGAGAGGCTGAGGTAAGAGAATCACTTGAACCCGGGAGGTGGAGGTTGCAGTGAGATGAGATCAGGCCACTGCACTCCAGCCTGGGTGACACCATCTGGAAAGAAAGAGGAAAAGAAAGAAGGGAGGGAGGGAAGGAGGAAGGGAGGGAAAGAAAGAAATAAGAAAAAGAAAGAAGGAAAGAGAGAAAGAGAGGGAGGGAGGAAGGAAGGAAGGAAAGAAGGAAGGGAGGGAGGAAGGTAAGGAAGAAAGGGGAGAGAGGGAGGGAGGGAGGGAAAGAAAGAGAGAAAGAAAGAAAAGAAAGAGAAAGAGGAAGAAATCAGTAATTCGGCCATTTGTGGTAGAAGATTGAAAATCTTTTTTGACTATTGGGTTGGAGCACTGAGATTTTTAATACTCCATACTCAAATATTTAATACTCCATATTTTTTCTGTGTTTGGGATCTACCATATAAACAACAATTTGGTAACCCTTGCCATAGAATAACCTCTCTGTCCTTTGGAAAATTGAGTTTGTTACCAACTTTCTGTGACATTTGGCCTGATAGTCTAAATTTTAGATACTGTCATATTTCACTAACACCAGAGTGAAAGAATGAAACCAGAGAAGCCACGTAGTTTTGGATAAATTGAAACGAGTAAAGAAAGGTCCCTAAACTCCACAGGTATCTACTAAAATGAAGGAGCAATAATGTATAAATGCCTCTGGCTGGCTTAGGGACCTGTGTGTCAGGAAATGGCCTCAGTGACGAGTTACCACAGAAAGCTCTGGGAACTCTTGGCAGCTTGGGTGAATGTTATAGGTATGAAAGAAAAGCATTTCAATCGTCATTTTAAGGTCTTTCTAGCCTTGGGCAGTCATATTTTTGGAAGCCCTACTTCTATCAAACATTAAATAGACCCACATGCCACATTAGATATAATTTTGCTGAAGAAAAAAATTAAAAGTACTTTTTATATTTGCTTCTTACTCATTAGCTTACTAAGTAAAATAATTTAATTTTGATTGGCTATGATTTCTCAGCATTTGTGTATACTATATTTAGGAATTATAAAATTATAAAAAGTAATCCATAATTTTAAATTGCATAAATATTAAAATTGGCAATTAATGAAAGTCATCGTGTCACTTTCTGTGAACATGTAATTATTCATTTTTACTTTTTATTTTGCAGTTTCAGTTTGGTTTCATAACATTCTTTCAGGTCTCAAAGTTTTCCAGATTCCCTGAAAGGCTCACAGGCCCTATGCCCTGTGACTCTTTCTGCCTAATGGTAAAGCAACCCTGGTAAGAGGGTGTGGTGTTAAATCTAGAAATAAGAACTGCAGGACCCCTATGAAAGAGGTCCCATACAAATCTGCCTAAACTTTCAGAAGTCGGGAGAATGGTGAAGCAGAGTTTGCGGGAATGTTATTTCTGACTTGGGCCGCCCCAGAGCCTAGTTCTTCCACAGGTGGTTGCAAACCAACAGCATTAGCATCCACTAGAGCTTGTTGGAAATGCAGAATCTCTAGTCCCACTCCAGGGTTGCTGGATCATCTGCACTTTAACTAGATAACCAGGTACCTGTTAAAGTTTGAGAAGCACTGCTGTAAGGTAGAGCAGTGGTTCTCAGTTTTGGGTACACCATAGGAATCACTTGGGAGCTTTGACAGTCCTGATGTTCTGGTTGTAGCCCAGAGCAATCATTAGTCTCTGGGGATGTGATCCAGACATCCATATTCTAAAAGCTCCCTGGTGATTCTAGGGCACAGGGTAGGTTGAGAGCCACTGTTCTAGAGTAAGGCCACAGAGGTTCCATGTTGTGTACCAGCAAGTGTACTTCAGAAAGCCACAAATATTTATTCTTTGTTTGGGATCCACTATGTAAACAACCATTTGGTAAACCTTGCCCTGGAATAACCTCTCTCTCCCTTGGAAAATTGAGTTTATTTCCTTCTTTCTGTGACATTTGGCCTGGTAGTCTAAATTCAGATACGGCATATTTCACTAAACCAGAGGTATTGTGTCTGAACATCAATTTAAGCTGAAACTGTGGGCCACAAGGTGATTTTTAATGTAAAACTCAGGTGTAGGGGGACTGTGTGTATTTCTCTGTTGAACATCAAAGCAGAAAGTTTGTGCTTATAACTACATGTTAAGGATACAGGTTTTTCTTCTTTAAATTTAGAAGTCCAATGATCTTATTAGATGCTAGGCAAGAACAACTTCCTTGCCTGATAGCCTTTCATTTTCTGATGATTCAGTTTCAGTTTCTTATAGTAAAACTTAAGTAAAATACTTCGGAACATCAATGATGTCTTCAATTATCATTGGTTTCTCCAGTGTCTTTGGGAAATTGCCACATTATACCATCATTGGCAGGTGATGTATCTCTTTGAAATGACTTTCACTGATGATACCTGCCATTTAGGGGACTGAAGAAACCACAAGACTTCTCAATCTTGTAGGTTTTTCTTATAGCTAAATTTCATAGTAAGATTCACTGAAAGGTGCACATGACATATGTAAAATGCACACGCATGTAACATTGCCTGTTCACGGTAGAGTGGGTGCCCATGAAATTGTGGTTGTTTTTCCTTTTCTTTACCTTGAACTTCCCCATTGAACCATCAACCTACCCTTGTTAATGTTTCCCTATCCCACCAGAAAGCTGTAATAGTGAGTTTCCCAGCAAATAACAATAATGAATGTTTATATATTTCAAAGACTATATTTTTCTAATTAGTAAATATAATCTCTGTTAGCAAGATAACCAAGGTACAAAGTTGATAGTGTATTTTGCTTTCTTTTGTTTTGTTTTTCATTTTACCTAACATGACATAACTACATCCTTCAATACCAAATCCCATGAAGAAAAGTGAGGCTTTATCACATCATAGCACTCATTACACTTGCATCTCAGAAAAGGCAAAAGAAATTTTAAATATCAACAATGTATATATTGGTGCTCAGTTATTAGTAGCTCAGGGGGTGGCTTATCTTGCTTCAGTATAATGCTGTATTAAATATTAAGTAAACCAACTGGAAATACATTCAACTTTATTTATCCTCTGGTTGTAAAAATTAGCAGATTTTGAACAAATTGCAAAGCTCTAGAACTAACCAAGAATGCTCACCAAATCCTTTTTTTTTTTTATCTCCCCAGTGAGCTACCTGTGGCTATATTTGTTCCCTCGGTCAGCCTTTTTCTGATTTCTCCTGTCCTGGAGATGGCCCTTTCTCTGAATGTCTCTAACACTCTGTCGGTTTCACACAGCTTAGCACTGGGTTATAGACAATTTCACAGTCTGTAATTGTTTCTTTAGTGGAAATCTTGTCGCCCTGACAGAGGGAATCTGCCTTCCATAGCTTTTGCATGCCCTCTAACACTTTAAACAGGAGAGAACAGAGAGAAGGCTAAATAAATTCAATATATTCTATTATTTTTTCCTATCCATTTTGTCTTTGGGCTCCATTTTTTCTCTGTGTTTAAAAAAGTGTGGTCTTCTTTTATGATCATCAGAATGAAGTGTTCCTGTAATCCTAGCACTTAGGCAGGAGGATAGCTTGAGGCCAGGAGTTCAAGACCAGCCTGGTCAACATAGGGAGACCCCTGTCTCACAAAACCTGAAAAAACACTTAGCTGGGCCCAGCAGCATGTGCCTGTAGTCCCAGCTACTTGGAAGGCTGAATCAAGAGGATCACTTGAGCCCAGGAGTTCGAGGCTGCAGTGAGCTATGATCAAGCCACTGCATTCCAGCCTGGGCAACAGAGTAAGATCCTGTCTCAAAACCAAATAAATATGGAATGTTATGTTTGTAGTAAATCATTTTGTTTTGTTTGGAAATTAATAAAAAACATTACAAAACATCAAGATAATAATGTATTACTGTCTGAGTCATATGAATTTCATAGATCTTTCTGTGTATCAGTTTACAAAGGACCTGACTTCAGTGATAGATTTCTTCCCCTTTTTTTTGCCTGGTGTCTCTTTTTTATTTCAAATATGAATTATTTAATATTGCTCCAAATGCCTACTGACTTTATTTTAATATCTTATTATTCTTGTATACTAAATTATTTTCACTAATATGAAGTTTTCACCTTGACATTTCCTTTTTTATCACTAGTGTTATCATTACAACAGTTCTGTACCTCTCGGATGCACTTCGTAAGAACTTCTTAAATGAAAACTTTGATTATAAGGTAAGCATTCATTTAGCTGACTCTCCTGCTTGGGCTAAAATAATTGCATTGTATTATAGGAAATTACCTAACATTTTCTTGGGCCATATTAGTTTTAACTATGAATAATAATAAAACAGTTTTCATTATGTTTGTGAACAGATGAAGGCTGTAATAATGCTTATCAACCTGGAAAATCATAGTGCCTAAAAGGAGATGGTTTTTTATTGTTACTATAAATTTTAATTCCTGCTCTTTTCTATATGATCCCTGTTTGTGACAAAGGGGACTTTGAACATAATTTTTTTACTTTTTAGAAATGGAGTTTATGTGAAGAAAACATTTACAAAGTTAACTCTTTAGTTTCTTATTTCTCTGTCTTCCCATTTTTTAGAATGAATAAATGAGAAGAAAAAAATGAAACACTGGTAGGATTGTTTAAGGCAGAACCCTCTGTATATCTATAACATAATGTGATATGCCTGGGTGCCTACAAATTCTTGGTATACCATTTTTCAAATAGCAAATGATAAATGTCAAACAAAGATGAGCAGTGCCTATCTTGGCTTTCTTTCCTAAATGATCTTTCTTTGTTATTGGCATCTTTGTTTCATATTCTGTTTTCGATAACATTTTTCATATTAAACATTTTTATAAAATTTTCTTATTGGAAAATAAGAAAATACCAAAAATCACAAAAGGAATTTTAATAGTTATATAATATTTGTCTATATTATAGCTTATAGTATGTCAAAACCTCATATTTCATTCTTATAAATTACTCATTTTATATGCATGCTTATAAAATAAATCTTTGCATATATCCCTAATTATTTCTTTTGTTCTTTTTTTGTTTCTGGGTTTTTTTTTTCTTTTCTTTTCTTTTTTTGAGACGGAGTCCTACTCTGTTGCCCAGGCTGGAGTGCAGTGGAGTGATCTCAGCTCACTGCACCCTCCGCCTCCCAGGTTCAAGCAGTTCTCTTGCCTCAGTCTCTCAAGTAGCTGGGATTATAGGCAAATACCACCATGCACAGCCAATTTTTTTTGTATTTTTAGTAGAGAGGGGGTTTTGCCATGTTGGCCAGGCTGGTGTCAAACTCCTGACCTTAGGTAATCTGCCTGCCTCAGCCTCCCAAAGTGCTGGGATTACAGGCATGAGACTGTGCCTGGACCTTAAGTATTTCTTTAGATAAATATTTATTAGTGGAATTGTTGAGTGAAAGGTTATACCAATTATATTTGATTGCCTGTTTTCCTGCAGTTACACCAACACTGGAAGAAATTTTTTTCTTGACAGATAAAGAGAAAAATCCTGTTTGCTTTAATTTGCATTTCTCACTAGTTATTACTTACTGACTAGTTACAAGTTATTGACCAAAATTCATAATTTTGTGAATTTTATGTTCTTGACTTTTATTCATTATTTTGCTTAGGGTTTTATTATATTCTTTATTTGTATGAGCTCTTCATCTATAACAGATATTAATTCTGTGTCATATTTCTCCGGGTTTGTTATTTGTCTTTAGTTTTACATGGTATCAGAGGAGAAGTATTTCCTTCCATTATGTCCTTTATTTATTTATTTAGCTAAGTTTATTTCAGGGAACTTTATTCAGATCTCTTTCTGATTCTGTTTTTTGGTATAAGAACACTTAAAAGATTTGTCTGGGTAGGGAATTTTTATATAATGTCTGAATTTAAAGCAATTAGCCTATCTGAAGAAGTGTATGCATTTTTTACAGGTTGTACGTTAAAAGGAGTTCCAAAAATGAACTCACAGGAATAAAGAAATCCATCTTATAACATATCCTCTTGGAGATTCTCAGACATATTACAAGAGGAACCACACACCTACCATTTAGCATATACCAAAATGCTTGTGAAACCTGGAATATACCTTTGGAGCAATATATACCTAGATATTAATGGTATTATTTATTTAGTTCTTTGTTATAGAAAATGTCAAGCATATGTAAAAGTAGAGAGAATAGTGTAATGAACACCTATGACGGTTCAACTATTATCAACTCAGGGTCAATCTTACTTCAGCTATACCCTCATCGCCTTACCAGTTTGGAAGCAAATGCAAAATACTGTGTCACTTCATTTGTCAATATGTTTGTAACACCATAGTATTGAAATATCTTGTTCTTGTTTTAGATCTGGGATTCCTACTTTTACCTTGCAGTCATTTTTATAAACCAGTTGTGTCTGCAGTTAGAGATGTTCACACCTTCCAAGAAGAAAAAGGTGTTAGAAAAGTAAGTATCAATGTATAAATCAGGTGAGAAATGTTGCCTCTTAAAGAGTATTTAGTTCAAATTATTCACAAACCAGAATGGCCATAACTGGAAATCACACAGTGAAGAACCAGTGACCAAGAGGTCAAGAAGCAATCTTTTCTGGACGCTGTGATATTTTAAACATGTTTGCACATTGTTTTGACCTGGCTCTTTCAGGATTCAAAATTTCTGTAGATGCAAAAAATTATGAAACACATCTATTTTACTAAACGGTTTACATAACGATTTGACTTAGAGGCATCATGAAATGTATATTAAACATCTTTAATTAAAAACTCCTTACCTTTTAATTCAGAATGACAGCTTGTATCCTAAAGACACACAAATACTTCTTTGTTCTGGAGGTGTTGTATCAGGTTTATTTTTTTTTTTTTCTATTTCAGATATGGTGACATGCGGGTAACAATGGGTTGTGAAATTTTCAGCATGTGGCAAAACCTAGGTAAGTGAAGAAAAGAGAAGCCACATCCACTATATAGCTCGTCACTGTACTTTGAAGTGTACAGCTGAAGAAAGGCAATTTACCAATGACAGCATTTGAAACCAAATGTCTAAATCAATAAACATCAATAGAAAGTAATTGACACTTTGGCATTGAAGAAGTTTACAACTAATTCTTTAAATTGGTCTCTAAGAAAAGTCACCTTACCTTTGTGTGTTTCATTTGTTAATTAATGATAAAATTTTATCATCTAGCATTCCTTCAACATTACACATATTATTTCCAGCAATGAGGTAATCTTTCAGAATTTGAAACTGTAACAACTCAGAATTTCTAGAACTCTGAATTGAAACTGTGAATCATAATAAATTTAGGTTAAACTTCATGAAACGTTGACTTGAACGTCACTACTCTTAAAAACCTGAAACCATTGTCCTATATGTAAGGAGTATAGCCAAGGGATTTTAAAAGCATCTGCAGTTGCTAAGAAACTGTTGGATACAATTGTGTTAATCTGCCAAAGCAGATAGAGTATATTATCCCAGAAAATTGATGGTACAGATCTGGTTGCATAGGAAACAATAATATTTGGGAAACAAGTTGTTTTAAAATTCATTGGCATGGGGTCCCTTTCTAGAGATTTATAACTTATTTTATTTGGTATATTAAGTATGCTGATTTTTAGTATTCATTTACTATTACTGCATCTTAATTCTCCTCTTTGATTTATTAAAGTGATTGACCTATTTGAGTTGAATATGTAATGACCTGAAAGTATCCTTTCTCTTGGGCTCATCCAAGCACAACTTGAAGATGGAAAGATTTATTTTCTGTGAATGAAAATAGAACCATTGTTGTTTTACTTCCACTCATGTTACAGACTGATTTTTGACCAGGATCATAACAGGGCTATTTTTTTTTTAATAGGTTATGTATATCCCTCAAGTATACATAGCAACTTGAGGGAGCCTTGTTATATATAATTAAGCCTGGTGTTCAGTGGTTGCTGATGATTTTAGAAAAAAAAAAAAAAAAATGAGGCTGGGAGCAATGGCTCACACCTGTAATCCCAGCACTTTGGGGGCCTGGGGCAGGCAGATCACTTGAGGTCAGGAGTTCGAGACTAGCCTAGCCAACATGGTGAAACCCTGTCTTTACTAAAAATACAAAAATTAGCTGGGCGTGGTGGTGGGCGCCTGTGATCTCAGCTGCTTGGGAGGCTGAGGCAGGAGAGTCACTTGAACCTGGGAGGTGGAGGTTGCAGTAAACCAAGATCACCCCACTATACTCCAGCCTGGGCAATAGAGTGAGAATCTGACTCTAAAAAAAAAAAAAAAATGAGTTAACATCTTGAAAACAACCTCCAACCTCCAACTATGTAAGGCCAACCAGAAAATATCATGATCTATCTTTAGATACAGATCAAAAATAGTTTTCTTATTTGGAGACTGCTCTTCTTAGTCTTCAGGTTTTATTGATTCTTTGTGTCCTTACTTTTTCAAAAGAAGATCAAGGCCCTTGTAGTGTCCATATTGCCTTTGACATTAATTTAGCAAGATGTTTTTGAAAGAATGCTGCATTGAATCTGTTTGACTGCGGTTGTGGTTGTCTAAGCTCTTTTCTGGGCTCAATTTATGAGACCAGGACAGATTCAGTTGGGTTACTAGAATGTTAAAAAAAAAACATGGCCAGTTCCTGTTCTAGATACTTGTCAGCTTTGCCATCTATGGTTATTTCCACATAAATCTATATCCAAAACATAACAGCTATGCACTTAGACCCATGACCCTTGGGCTGCTAAATAAAGCTGTCACTTTTAATCTCCCTAAACATGTCATTGTATACTTCATAAACTTTCATCCTCTATTTTGTCTTTCTTCTAAAATGAAACTATTTCTGCCTCTCTGGTTTTTATGTTAAATTTTTTCTCTTTTGTCTGAGATCTAGAGAATATGGAAAACTTCTGAAGCATATCAATCCCTATATTGCAGTATTTTGTCACACTCTAGCATCAGCATACTTGGAAGCTTGTAAGAAATGCAAAATCTCTCGCTCTACCTTAGACCTACTGAAACAGAATCTCTGGGATTGGGGCACAGCAATCTCTCTTAGTGAGTTCTCCAGGTGATTCTTATGTACTTAGCTAAAAACTGAAAAGCACTGCTTTAGTTTATCCTCTTTCTTTGTTGTTCCAGCCCTAAAGACTAGCTCAGCACAATCCTGGGACTCTGTTAGAAAAGGCACCTCCCCTCCAGCCTGGCAATAGAGTGAGACTCAGTCTCAAAAAAAAAGTTTCCTCCCTTATACTTGACTTACAGATTCCCAGCATGACAGCATGACATGGTTCAGGCATAAGGTCAGTGTAAATTTTCACTTCATTCCTTGGTTGCTGCATTGTTTCCCTAGAGTTGTGTCCTGACTGCAGAGACTTCCCAAATATTAGGTGAATTTTAAAGTTTGTTGCTATTGTATGATAGCTAGAATTAGAAAATATTCGGAAATGATAAAGCCTTTCTTCCAACATATATTTTTATAAAATGAGAAGAAGAATTAAGTATTCAGGGTGATTTTTTGATACCCTTATAGGCCTTAAATCAGCTTGTTACTTAGGAATATCAAAATGCATTAGTTATCATTTGGTTTACTTATAAATATGGCATGGTGAGAATTTGAATGCTAAAAGAGAATTTAGGTAATTATAAATTTGCCATGTTTTAATGTAACAATTCATATGACTAAGTTTATGAAGCACTGTCTATATGCAAGTGTTTTGGAGGGCATAAGAAAAAATGGTCCACACCTGTTAAAATCTTAATTTTAAAATCTTATATTTTAAACTTTTTTCCCAATTTAATTGGAACTATGAGAAAGCTTGACAAAGACAACATCATCATGTTTTAATAAAGCTAATAAGCTTTTATGAATTCATAAATCAGTATCATATATATATATATACATATATATACATATATATATACATATATATGTATATATATGTATATATATATATATTTTTTTTTTTTTGAGTTGGATTCTGGCTCTGAAACCCAGGCTGGAGTGAAGTGGCGCAATCTCGGCTCACTGCAATCTCCACCTCTTGGGTCCTGGTTCAAGCAGTTCTCCTACCTCAGCCCCCTAAGCAGCTGGGATTACAGGCACGAGCCACCATGCCCAGCTCATTTTTGTATTTTTTAGTAGAGATGGGGTTTCACCATGTTGGCCAGTCTGGTCTTGAACTCCTGACCTTGTGATCCGCCCGCCTCGGCCTCCCAAAGTGCTGGGATTACAGGCATGAGCCACTGTGCCCAGGCAATATCTTCAATATTTTTAATAGATACAAAACGCACCAACTTTTAGAAACTAGGATGAAGGGAGGAAATGCCCAAGGTCACTTAATATACTTTTATCCACTTGAAACTGCCTAGTTGATCTAATTTAGAAATGCACATTTTACTGGATAATACTTTTACATCAGATTTGGTCATTGATGTTTACCTCAGAAGTTAAATTCTTCCATATGCTAGAAACATGTTGTTTTTTTCCATTCCACTGACAACGGTGGGGGGGAAGACACATGTACTTCAGTGACTTGTCAGTTTTTAAACTAAAAGCTGTAGTATTTTAAAATCTGATCATTATATCCCTTTGCAACCTGTGAGCAATCTTCCAACCCTATGAGACGTAGAACTGCTTAGTTTTCAGCGTTATTTTTAACCATAAATCATCTGACTAGTAGACATTTAGTTGTGTGTGCTTAATATATTTTATAATTCTAAAATTACATAACAACTTATCTGTAGTATTAAAAGTGCTTTTATAATGATTATTTACATACAGAAAGTTTAACCTTTGTTCTGAATAAGTAAATATTTGAATCCTTTAGTATATTTGTAGCTCATACAACTGGGAGAAGCGAATTCTAAATTCTCTTCTGCTCTCCCCTCAGCCTTGGAGTTTTTGCAAGCAGGGCCATGAGCACCCATTTTTATGTCAACAGGAATGAATCCATGGCTCTGCTAGTTCATGCTTCAGCCCTAGTTCTGTGAAGTCTGGTTTGGAACATAGAAACAAAATCAAAAGGTTTTGTTGTCTAAAGTTTAAAAAAAAATTCCACAGGCCAACAAGGCAAGGTTTCTTTTCTTTCCCTTGAGACAGCAGTGGTTCCTGGGGACAGAAAGGCTTTGAGCTCTTGCCTGGAACTTTGAGTCATGCTGCCTATCTCCAGTGCATACAGAGGACTGAACACATCATGCCACTCATATAATTAAAATTTAGTTTTGAAGTATTTTAAAATTGTAGTAAAATACATATAAAATGTACATGTTGGCTGGGTGTGGTGGCTCACACTTGTAATCCCAACACTTTGGGAGGCTGAGGCGGGTGGATCACATGAGGTCAGGAGTTTAAGATCAGCCTGGCAAACATGATGAAACTCTGTTCCTACTAAAAATATAAAAATTAGCTGAGTATGGTGGCATATGCCTGTAATCCTAGCTACTTGGGAGGCTGAGGCAGGAGAATCACTTGAACCTGGGAGGCAGAAGTTGCAGTGAGCCAGGATTGCACCATTACACCCCAGTATGAGGGATACAGCAAGACTCTGTCTCAAAAACGAAAATAAAAGTAAAAGTACATCTTAACCATTTTTCATGGCACAGCTCAGTGATATTAAGATATTAAGTATATTCACACTGCAATGCAACTATCACTACCATCCATCTCTAGAACTCTTTTCATCTTGTAAAACTGAAACTCTATACCCAATAAACAATAACTTCCCATTCCCCTGTCTTCCCAGCCCTGGTACCACCATTCTACTTTCTGTCTGTATGAATTTAACTACTTTGGGTACCTCACATAAGTGGAATCATACAGAATTTGTCCTTTTGTAACTGGCTTATTTTACTTAGCAGATCATCCTCAAGATTCATTCATGTTGTAATGTATCCAAATTTTCCTTTTTAAGGCCGAATAATAAGCTGTTGTATGGATATACCACA